GAGGAGGAAGAATTCTTATTACGTAGAATGCTAATCCATAATGAATAGGAACCTTGGCAGTCAAGGCAGATTGAATTTCATTTTTATTTAAATTCACATTTGAGGCCCCAATTCACTTGGCATTCTAATTGCGCTTATTTTCAGAATACTTACATTTTTTAACACGAGAGCACAGCAAAATGAAATGGCATCCAAGCAGCAACAGAGATACAAGCAAAGTGTGCATTTATTAAATACGGCAGCTCAGCAAAGAGGAAGGTTTCGGTTTACCTTACAAAGGTTTCATTTCTCAGAGTTTAGGCTACTATGCCATCAGCGTTATGCAAGCTTTGTGGCATAGATTAATCTAGAAATGATGCAGTCCAGAAACGTTGTTATTATTTTTAGGATAAAGAGGAAATAACCAAATTAAAAAAGAGGAATTAAAAGGTTATTACTAAATTAAATCATTAAAGCTGATTTACATATTTTTTATCTTACATATATGTATGTAATGATATTTTTAAATCAATTGCTTAAATTAAATTCTATTAATATTGCTTAATAATGTGTTGGCGATTCTCTACCTAAATTGCACCCTGTTCCTAAATTTTGGCGAAATCCTTTCTTAGTATAAAATATATTAACTGTTGGCGCCCGCCAAATCGCCAAACTCATAATCTGTCATATTAACATAACTTAAGAACACTCCGATAGAAGATAGCGTCACCTCATGATTTCAATTAATATCGCTGATTGGAGGAGCCTCGTGACGCACACATATGTAATTTTAGGACTTAATGAATGCAAATTATTTGAGTTGAACATTGATTGTACTAATTTTAAAATTAAATAGAAATATATCGTGCTTAATGATGACTGCCATGTTGACAGCCGACCCATATCTTTACACCTCCAACTTCAAGGTGGTGCAACAAATGTTTATAAATGTGTTAATAATGATGATAATGTAAGAAATTTTCCAATCCTGTAAATCTCTGACTACAAATCCAAAGGAATTGGTTTCTCAGTCTGAACATTTATGTGAAAAATGCTGTTTCTTAATAATGTTGATAAAAAAAAAGAGTATAACTTAAAGAAATTGTTAAATGATTATTCATCTGTGTTTTCTAAAAATAACTATGATGTAGGAAAAATAATATTGAACCTCAAACGAATTAATTTAAATTCTGATTTGCCTGTGTCATTAAGACCTTATAGAGCAACCCCTATGGAAGAAGAGGAAATAAGACCCAATTGATGAATTATTACAAGCAGGTATAATTAAAGAAAGTTGTAGCCCATATTCGTCCCCGTGACTTAGTACTTAAACGTGAGGAAGGTAAGAAACTAGATTGTGCATAGATTATCGATTGAATTCCCTGGCTAAAACGATGCAAACCCTCTCCCTCGCAATTGACACTTTGTTAGACAAATTAAATAAAGCAAAAGTATTTTCTACAATTGATTTGAGATCTGGTTTCTGGCATATCCCGTTCACCCTGCAGATACTGAGAATTAGCTTTTGCACGAATTTTGGATTATTCGAATGGTTAAGACTCCCTTTTGGTTTCAAAAAATGCTCCTGCAATTTTTAACAGAACAATTAGATGAATATTAACAAAAAATAAAATTAATTTTGCTTGCAGTTACTTTAATGATATAATCGTTTACTCTTCCTCTGAGAAGGCACATTTAAAAATTTTATTTGAAGTGTTTAAAGAGGAGCATATTAAATTGAATCAAAACAATTGTGTGTTCACCAGAGACAAAATCACATTTCTTGGCTATGAAATAAAAAATGGTAGAATAATTTCTGATAACCATAATAGAGAAGTTATTAAGAAACTTAAAAATCCCAGTAATACCAAAGAGTTACAAAGAGTTTTGGGAAGTGTGAATGTCGAACATAGATTCATTCTGAATTATGCAACTATTAGAGCTCCATTAAATAGACTGTTGAAAAAAGATATCAAGTGGGAATGGGATGACCAATGTCAGAAAGCTTTCGACGAATTGAAAAAATTACTGATTTCCAAACCTGTTTTACAATTGCATGATTCTAGCAGGCCATGTCATATTTTTGTTCACGCTTCTCAAACTGCTGTTGGAGCTGTTTTGAAACAACCAGATGAAAATGACCTTCACCCTGTAACATATCATTCCCGAACTTTAAGAAATTATGAGAAAAATATACGATTACTGAGTTAGAATGTTGGCCATAGTAGATCCCTAGACAATTCTATACTATCTGCATGACAAAATTTGTTATACATACGACCATGCGGCCCTCGTTTGGCTCAAAAAATGTTAAAAATTTAAAAGGAGACTCTTCCGTTGTCACTCAAACTAAGTATGTTCAATTATGAAGTAAAGTATCAGAAGGGCTCTACAATATTGAAGCTGACATGCTTTCTAGACATCCTGTTTCACAGCACCCTCCAACATTATGTACATTTACTTGATAAAAATGAAATAATCCAACAACAAAAAACTGATATGTCTACGGAAAAAATACCAAGGGATAAATGATATGATTGTAATTAAGAAAAAGAATTTTTATAAAATTGTAGTACCTAATCTTAAAGATTAAAATTGTTTGAATAAAACCCATTAAAATTTTGGTCACCCGGTATTTCAAATTATGCTTAACTTATCAACCCTCAATATTAGCGAAGATATCGGAAATTTTGTTAAACATTGTCATACTTGTCAACTTAATAAAAGAAAAAACAGAAAAAATTTGGTCTTATGCAAACGTACCCCCACCGACAAACCTTTCGAATGTCTCTCGATTGACACTGTGGGAGGATTTAATTATTATAATTCTACAAAACAAAATATTTACATATAGTTTTATTGACCATGCACAAGATATGTCTGGGCTTTTCCCTCTAAAAGTGTAACTTCAGAACCCTATGCCAATTGTCTAAAACAAATATTTCAAATACAAGTCCCCGAAAATTTCTGAGTGACAGGAAGCAGCCTTCATTTCCTCTAGATTTAAAAAAATTCTTAAAAGCATAATATTAACAACTTTTTCCTTCATCTCACCATCCCCAGACAAATGGTAAAGTAGAAAGAGTAAATCAATCAATATAATCGACTAAAATGTAAGTAAATTCTTCTTCTAAAAAGTACCGTGACTAAAGTGCTAGAGCAAGTTGTTATCGAATATAACAACTCCCCTCATACGGTAACTAAGTTCACCCCAGCATCTACTATTTGGTAACCTCCCTTTTGAATCTCCAATTGATCAAAAAAATACCCTTCCTGAAATGAAGCAAGGGCTTTAGCAAAGAAAAGAACTATCGAATACCACCGAAAGAATAAAACTAGATATGACACCAGATTTGTAGAATCTAAATTTCAACCTGGAAATTTTGTTCTTTACAAGGAATTCGAATACTCAAATACTAGAAAATTGACCCCACCCTATTCAGGCCCTTATCAGATTGTGAATAAATTATCTGAAGTTAATTATGAAATCATCAGGGAAAATTTTCACACAAAGAAACCGAGATTGTACAAGAGTCAAAATTAAGGTTCTATTACCCACCCAAGAACTTTAAATTACATCATGAATAAATCAAAATTTATAAAAAATAAACTATCCATAATCCTTCTTTTAGTATTTTATCCTGTCATTTCCCCCTGAATAGTTGACTTATCTTCTCAGTGTCCGAGACCCTTGTCTGTCCCTTTTCCTTTACTGCGGCTCCTTCAAACTTGAGTTTCAGGTTCAATGCACTTTCTCATGTGGAAAACACTCAATTGAGGCAATACTACAAGTAGAGTACTATAGCTTCACATTTCCTTGAGCTCATGTTTTCATATGTTTGTGTTGTAAATTGTAGCAACAGTTAAAAAAGTTAAATTTCAGTTGTTGAAACTTCTGAGTTTCATTTTATGTTTCTGCAGCATCGTGTACAAAAAACTGGTATCGACGTTGTAAGTTAAATTTTGTTTTGTTATCATTAGATTATGTTTTGTTATCATAAGATAAAAAGCGAGTGACAAAATGTTAAAAAATATAGCGAAATGTGTATTTTCAACAAGAGTGTAAGAGCTCTAGTATCCTGACATAAAAACTCCAAATGATTCCAGTGCAATGTCAAGCAATATTTCTAGTGCTACTTAAATGTTCCGGAGATCTCCAAGGAGCAATAAAAGACAGAAGATGAGCCTGAATGACAACTCTAATGATTGTACGAACTCGTACACAAACTGCGAGTGGCATGCCGTAAGATATAAACTTACAATTTTAGTTATGTTACTATCTCCTATTGCCGCGTAGGTAACCAGCAATATGTTATCAGTGCTTTATATTTTTTCTTCACTTAGTTACTATATAATAATTTCATTAATCATTTATTATATTTTATATACTGTATTAATTATATTCAAATATTTTATGTCATATTTATGTAAACATTTTGTGTGCCTTGAGATAAATCCAATCAGTTTTCCCTACTCACTTCATTTCCTAATAACTAAATTTTCTGCTCTCACTATCTGGACTGTCTTGGGTCGACAGCCGCGACTGCAAGCCTTTTCAGATGGGGGGGATAATCTGTAATGATATTTTTAAATCAATTGATTAATAAATTCTATTAATATTGCTTATATGTGTTGGCGATTCTCTACCTAAATTGCATCCTGTTTCCAAATTTTGGCGAAATCCTTCTTTAGTATAAAATATATTAACCTGTTGGCGCCCGCCAAATCGCCAACTCATAAATCTGTCATATTACATAAAGTACTTAAGAACACTCCTGATGAGAACATAGCGTCACCTCGTGCTTTCAGTTAATATCGCTGATTGGATGAGCACCGTGACGCACACATGTATAAGTAGGGCTTCTGCTCAAGGTACGAGGAGAACGCTTGTGAGATGAATGCTAAAATAAACCAACCACTTTATATTCCAAAATTTGTCTCATTCCTGTTGCCCTGGCTGCACAAAACAAATAATGTATGAGAAATTACATTTCATGTATACTTTGCATTGATAAACATACTTGATCAAATATATTATGCTGAGCCAAGTAACCAATCTCCTTCTGGCACTGAAAAATATACATAGAAGAATAAATTAAAATGGTTAACATAATCATATAATTATTAGTAAAATTTTAACATAGCCTTTCATCACACAAATACATACCACATATACTTCAGTGCTTCTCCTTACTTTTCTTCCCCATGATTTTTAGTGAGTAAATTAAAATTAGTTCTCATAATTTTAATTCTCCCGACCCAATTCAGAAAATCAAATCTTCCATAATACAGTGTTTTTATAATGATGTCCACTTTAATGGTATACATTTACGAAGCTTTTTGAGTGTGTGCCACGAAAGCAATATAGCCAATATAAAAAGTGCAGGCACATTATAAAAATAAATTGAGGACATGAAGCTACAGCAGTGGTAATTTTATGTCAGGACATTGTTATGAAATAAGATATTATTATTATTATGATATAAAGTACAGTCAAAAGTCGTTAATTCGGACACCCATAATCCGGAATGATCTCAAAGTTAAAAACTTTCTGCGCATGCGCCGCTTTGACACATGCACATAGGCGTTTACGCGTGCGCGTAAGACCTTTACGACTGCGCATATGCGTGTGCGCAAGCACAGAATACGTCTTTGCGTGCGCGTTTAATGTATAACGGATGGTATAAGCTAAAATTATCTAATTATCTATTTCAGTTAATGTTGATGATTGCGTTGTTCCTTAATCTTCGAATTGGATGTGGCTTATTATTTTTTGCACACTGTAAGAGCAATTTTATAAAAGTAAACTTGAACTTTTGATTATGTCAAATAGAATTTCCAATGCTGGAGCTCCCAAAGGATCTACAAAACGAATGTCCATCAAACAAAAAGTGGAATTGCTGCAAAAAATGGATAAAGACATGAAGAAGGTGACAGAGAGGTTAGTGAAAATGAAAAAATTTCAATTGACAAGTTAGTCAGTATTCTGGGCACAGCAATTATGGGACTTGAACAGCGGAACTTTGTAACTGAACAAGAAATTATGTCTGTTTATAGAATTAAAGAGAAAGTATTATCACATAAAACGAAGCAACTTAAATAACTTACATTGAAAGAAATGTTTTAATAAAGTAAACAATAAATATTAAGCTTTTTTTTTGTAAATTTTGATACCCTTTAGATCATAATTGTTCTTTATTTCATAAATTACAGTTTCATATTTTTAATTTTACAATTTCTGCATGCCATCTTACGAGATTTAAACTGATGATCTCTATTCCGGAAAAATCGATAATCCGGAATCGCCGAAGTCCCGACGAGTCCGGATTAACGACTTTTGACTGTATTTACTTTTTTTCTGATTAAATCATTAATAAGAGATGAAATAAATTATAATACCTTCATAAAAATGGACTACTTTTGTGTGATGACATTTTTAAATTTGTTACAATGAACCAAAGTAATATAAATTTTGCCTCACAAATGAGATTCAAGAACTTCAGTAATTCAATGTAAAATGACTGAATCCCATTCCAAGAAGCACTTGTTTTAACAGCACATAAGTACTTTATGTTTTTATTATGAATAAACAGTGAAGAAATAAAATGAATAGAGTAAAGATAATAATTGAAACTGACTTAATTGAAATACATGGCATTATTGCTATGTGTTGCTAAGTTCTTCCCTCTTTTCCCTTTAGAAATGGCATACCTTGTAAGTTTTATACACTGATTCTTCAAGAAGTAAAATTAGTAAAAGCGAGAAAATATGTGAGTAAGTATGATATACAATATTACTTAAAAATTTGTTTTTATTAATTGTTCAAGTACACGATGCTGCAATAAAATTTGCTACATTGAATAAGCACTAAAGAATTAAGCAACTGAAAAATATTTTTGTTTCATTACAAAACTGCATTTCAACTATCAAATTTAATCATATAGAATATACAAAAATATTTCAAATTAAATTATTACTTCAAATAAATTTCAAAGCTAAAAATAACTTTTAATGTGGTGCATAAAGAAAATAACCATGGACATCTTACTTATCTTAACCATGGTCATTTTGGCTTCAATGTAATGTTTAGTGAAAAGTGGAGCAAATTTCCTTTCAAATTACAAACAAAATTTATATTTCAGATATAGAGAAGTGTACAAGAAATTTCATTAGCAGATTTTTTATATATTTTTCTTTTTGCTAAACAAGAATTTGCCATCAAATTATTGTCATAAAAAAGTCACAAGACAAAAATCAATCTACTGCAATGAATAAATTAAAATTTGTCATTTTTTTTTTCTCAGCAGTCACTGAAGTGAAATTAATAACCATAATTTTCTAGTTCTAATCCAGGCTAAATTTCAAATAATAATGATTTATTTGGTCATTGATTCCATAAGAATTCATATGGAAATTGAAATAAAAAATCTGATTTAAGTATAAACTCGTTACATCTTGCTTCTCCTTTTTTTTATGCTAACATCTAAAATAAGATTATTATCATATAAAATATATGCGCAAGACACATAGTATTTTAATCTCAAATATGCCCCAATAAATCGTAAGTATTTGGAAATTACACAATGCAACTTAGAAAAATAAATGATTCAGAAAGTTTGTCAGATATTAACTGAAAAAGCTTCACATATGCAGCAGGTGTTTTATATATTTTTAAATATTCATACATACAACTTCAACTTTATTATATAACAAATTTGAAAGATTATTGTTTTTCTAAAATTTAATGCTCAGCTGCTGTATTTTCAAATAAATTAGCAGTTATAAATAAGCTACTACTTTTCTCATAATTTCTAGCTGAATCATTAGCTTTTTCTTGCAAATTTACTTCTAATTGCTTTATCCTCATTTGAGTTTTTTCTTAATAGATCGTTTCATTTTCTGTTTACCAATATGCACAATTTTTTTTTATTTGTGGCATCTGAAATTACTATTCCCACAGTCTAACTAATTTTTTTACATGTACAAGAGAGCTAGGACAAATGTGACATAGAAAAGATAAATTATAATACAGTATGACTGAAAATTTTCTTACATTCATCAAAATTTGGAAAAAAAAAGAGAGAGAGAGAGATTTAATACTGCATGTGTAAGCCTCACCGATTTATTCCAAATATAACTTTCAACAAAATCTTCTACAGTCATCAATTTCTGAGTCCAGTTATCATCAGTATATTTAGAACCAATTTCAATAGGTACTGTTCTATAGCCTGCTTTGTTTAAAATACATTCAACGCTACAAAAACAAAAATAAAAGCATTTTATTTTTCACTTAATATCTCTAAAAAATTATATATAACAAAAAATTGTGTGCTGTATAATTACACATTTAGGTTAATAATTTTTTTGATAAAAAATGAACCTGTTGTGTTGTTGTGCCTTATCTTACTTGTCTGACAGTACCATCAGAACAAGCCAAAATGAACTGAGAACAAAAACATCAGAACAAGGCATTTGAACTGACCACAAAATACATTATGGCAAGGACAGCAAAAATGCACCTGTCATTGGCAAAAGAAATGAGCATCATACGTGTGACAGTACGACTTTTCTCAGTTCTGCCCCCCAGTCTTGATGGAGAGCACTGAGAGGAGACGGGTCCAAGGGTCTCCGACCCCTCTTTCCCTACCACCAACATCTCGAGAGGACTTTCAGCTCATTACCTGTTTAGAATACCCCCATGCCACACAGAATTTTACATTTACAAACATCCATACCTTTTCTGGGATTTGAATCTGAACCCTTTGGCATGGTATTCAGCATCACTAACCACTATCTCAGTTGGGCGGCAAAATGAACCTAAAAACTAGAAATAATGTCAGCAAATTGCAAATAGTAATTTTATCTGTGAATTCAATAAAATTATTTAAACAAAAATTAAACATATTATTCCCATTCTGAAATATGTAATTTTAGCTGTACAGTTCTTCCCTAACTCTTATAAGCTGAATTTTCTGTTAATATCTATAATTTCATTTAAGATTTGACTCCCTGCATTAACAAATAAATGCAACGAATTTTTCTTGGTTTCATTGCAAAAAAGTACAATGTAAATATATGCTGTCTTATAAAAATATTTCATAAAAAGACTTTTGCAGTGAACCCAAGAAATAAACATAGTGCTTGACCATCTTACTGTAAAATTTCATTATCAAAATATAGAGCTTATATACAAAATTTGGACAACATAAGAAGCTGAAACTGAAGAAAACAACTTTACCATTATTTAGTGTTCTAAATACATTTCATATAATGCTACTTGTATTAGAATGACTTCCTCAAAGTGAACTACTTAATACTCTTTAATTCCATTATCACACATCTCTTAATTTTTAGATGCTTTCAGAATAATGTCCCCTTTAATATAAGTTTTCATTTTAGAGAACAAAAACTAGTCTGCCAGATGCCAAATCAGGAAAAGGAAGCACAAGTTAAGCACAACCACAAGCTTCTTTTCAATAAACTGCTTGATGATAGTTACATAGCATGAATATGTAATATTTTGTAACAAAAACCAGTTATACAACTGAGTTTTTTGTGACCTAATGCATTGTAATTCTTTTCAAAAGACAGTATGTTCCTTATTTTATACGACATTGAATTTTACTCTTCAAGTTCTAGTTTATGAACCATTTTTCTGTCCAAAAAAAGATTTTCAAATAAGACCCCATTTGAAGTTTAGAAAGTATAATATTACAGCTAAGCACACAAATATTATAAAAGCTAATATTTATTCCAACTGTTTCAATGATGTATGATAATGTGTATATGATTAAACATGGCAGATAATGTACACTGCTAAAAAAAAAGGGGACAGTCCTATATCTCCCGATCTACTGGGCCCATTGACAAAATTCAAATTGCGTTCTTCATGTCTCGAAAGCGCGACTTAGGATATATATTAGATTTATATATATCACTATTCTAACATCAGTATTTTGACACAAAATCGGATTTTTCTGAAATAACATACCAATTTTTTTACATATTTCGATTCTACGACTCAAATTACGCCTAAATATGAAATTTTGTAAAATTTACAGCGAAATTTACGGAGAAATTCACAAATTTATGTTGGAACTTCTTTGTCAGTTTGCGCCAAGGATACTTCACTTGGCGAACTTCTTAATATATGGCAACCTAGTTTCCTTTCCCGTGAGAGGAAAAAAATTCACCATCGTACTTTTTTACCAAATAATATTCTTTATATTATATTTTTTAATTATACTTATTATTTTTAAATATTTTTTCTTTTTCGAACGTCATTTTAATTGCACGTTTTTTTTTTTCTTTTTTTTTGAATAACTGTTTTAAAATTTCTATTTACCTATTCGAACTGCGTAAATAAAGGTGCAGCGTTTATTTTTTTTCAAATAGTTTTCTTTACATATATTTTTCGTCATAGTTATTATTTTAGGTAATTTTAAAATTTTTATACTTTTATTTTAATTGTTTGTGTTGCATGTCTCTTCAGATCATTGTTTTAAATTTTCTATTTATCCTTCGAACTGAGCATTTAAATATATTTATTAAATCAATTTCCAGAATTTGATTTTATTTATTTGAACTGCGTTTCTTTCGAAAGAATACTTTGTATCCCAGACTGCGATGCGTTTGAAAACTGCATACTATATTAAAAGAGAAAATACAGTAAAGCACAGTTTTACACGCCTTTCAATGTTCCATTCAGAAAAGATATATATAAATAAGAGAGATGTATAACCAACATTTTAACTTAGGATGACTTGCTTAAAGATTGCTTAAAGATAAAGAGTTTTATCATTGTGCCCATTGCTTTACACAATTTTATCCTACATTTGGTTTCTTAAAATGCTATTCATATTTTAGTCAAATATTTTATTTTTGAAATTGCAAGATTCAAATATCATAAGATTGAAAAGTTTTAAATTTAAATAAAATACAAATACTAAACTTTACGAAAAAAACTTATTTTTCTTCTCTTTTTCTTTAAGCATTCTGAAAGTATATTAAAAAGTATCCAACTTTTCGAAACATTTTGGTATTTCTGACAATCATTTTAAATAAAGTTATCACCTTCCATTTCATAAAGGCTCACAAACGGCCGAGCGATAAAGTCGCTGAACACTGGTAGTTCACTCCAGGGTTCGAACCCCGGTAAACGGGCTGGTTGTATGGGCGTTTTCGTGGATTTTCTCATGTGTACTGGGTATGACAGCTGGTTTCTCTCAGAAAGTTCTTCACGAAGTATTTCATCAGAGACTTTATCAGTCTTTAGAGGCTAAACATTTTGAAGGTATGAGATGAAAGGAAAGACTGGTTTCATCAAAAGGTTTTGATTTATTTAATTATGACAAAGCACACTACAGCTATCTGCCTAAGGGGAGGGTTGCCTTTGTGGAGGACTTTCTAAGGGAAACTGGCTCGCATACACGTTACACATGGGGAAATCCACGAAAACGCCCATGCACCCAGCCCATTCGCGGGATTCGAACCTCGGAACGAACTACCAGTTTTCAGCGACTTTACCGCTCGGCTGCTGTTTCATTAGGAGGAGAAAAAAAAAAAAAAAAAACATCTTTAGGTGACATCCACATACATCACTGGATAAACTCCTGAATCTTCAAATAATTCGACTGAGAAAATCATGGGATTCTCCATTTATGATACCATATGATGTTCTATAACGTAATTTACACAACCATATAGTTTAAAACCAGTCGCTCTTCACTTTAATCTGTAATGATATCGTTTTTGCCTTTTCTGTTAACACAAGCTCAATTGATGGTATTTGCTGGTGTACACGTCCCAGTGTTTTCTCTTTGAACACCTAAATTCTTTCAAGTATCCTGAAAGTTATTCGAAAGCGTCCAACTTTTTGAAACATCTTTGGTATGTCTGACAGCCAAATTTCCCTGCAAATTTTTGTTTACTTTCTCCCTAATTTTCTTCTTTCCTTCTACAGTTATTTTCAGTGCTCACACAAGAAAATTAAGATTTTTCGACTGCTAGACTTCCATAACTTTTGCATTCTTGTCAATTTTTTAAAATATCAATTATATGAATTGCGTTTCAGCTAAAGACAGCTTTTCATTTTCTAGTCATTTTAACTATAAATAAAGTTTAAAGGAAAGTCCAAAGGATAAATATTTTAATTAAAAGATTTTTGCTAAATGACAAAGAAATAAAACAGTCCAGCAGGGTTTATTCTGCACCACCGAGTGACCCGATTTTTATATCGGCTGAAACAATCTAAATCATATTAAAGATCATGATTTTTTATACAATCTATAAGAAAGAAAAATTAGCTTTTCGAGAGAAAAATTAGCTTCTTAAAACATTCTTTCTAAGAGGATTAATATAAAAGATTATATTTATCTATATATTTTTAAAGCTGGGACTTGAACCAAACTGTCAATCATTTAAAGCTCTAAAATCTTTAATCTTTTAAAGCTTTTTTGCATGGTGGTTATAATTAAAGTTTCAATTTGAAATGGTCATAAAAGGAAAACTACCAAACCAAATGTTATCAAACTTGGGACTCGTGTAAAGGAGGTTATGGGAATTTATTATCCGCGGAAAAAAAAAAAAAGAATTCAAAAACTCACCACCAGGTGGAAAATGGCGCTGTATACAATATTGTTAAATGAAATAAGACACGAAAACATCTGTTTAAAATGTGTTTAATATTTTCCGAAACGTGCTACAAAGCATGTTCAATGTAGCGTCCAGCATTTTCCGAAAGCAAGATAAATCCTGTTACTGCATTCTCAACAGCAGCTCTTAGCATATCAGAAGGAATGTTATGGACATGTCAGTGTATCACATTTTTCATTTCTGCCAAATTGTTTAGATTATCACCATAAACAGTGCTTTTGAGATAACCCCATAGCCAAAAGTCACGGAGGATGAGGTCTGGTGGGAAGAGGGGAAGTGTCGGCCTATAAGACGTTCATTCGTGAAATGTTGCCTAAGTAACTGTGCGATACATTTGAGGTGCGGCCCAACCCTGCATAAAAATCCTAGTATCTAAAATGCCACGTTAGTGCAGTTCCGTGTATCACGAAATATTTTAACATTGACCCTAAGCGAGGTGCAATCACAGTGATCCAGCTGTCGACTTCTCTTACAGAAGAAAAATGGTTCATTTATGAAACTAGCTGTCATTCCACACCAGACGGTGTGGAATGACTGTTATGCAATCGAATGCAGTAGGAGAATGCAATGAACTAGGTAGGATAACATGAGGGATTTCTT